TAGACAAACGTCCCCAAGGTAGTTAAACCGTATATAAGACACTAGATGAAAACTGAAGTAGGACTTTCTCTGTGACAAAATGGATTACAAAGAGGTATCAGTTCCAGCTGAAGTTATTGAACTATAATGGGATCCACAAAAGAATATAGTGTGATATATAATGTAGTTTTGGAATTAGTTACGTTCTCTGAGCTGGTTGGTTTAATTGCGAAGCTTTTGTCATCCTTCTGGACAACATCTTCAGTGCAAGTTTTAGCATAAAATGAACTCATGTGAATTCTCCGTGAATGATATATTTGTGTCCTGGCAACCATCTTCGTGACTGGTAGTCGATTTACATCCGTACTGATCATATTTTATTGACTTGGAATTCGAATTTTCTTGTCACATGATTTACATTTTATTAGCTAGTGGTAAGTTTGGTCTATATTAACATGTTTGTTAATTGCTGGTTGATTCACGCGAATACCAGGCTTATAGGAATTCTCTGGCACTTTTGGTGTTTCCGCTATCTACAATTTCAACATTATCGCAATTAAATTGGTGCCCATAATTATCTACATGCACTGATATCAAAGAAAATATATCAAATGTCTTTTTAACATATAATCTATCTAAAGAAAATTTCAGGAAATTAAAATACCTAACAGAATCATGTGAACATTCTATCAATTAGCCGATACAATTTTTAGAGAAAATCAACAACATTCAAGTGGATGACAATGAAATAATGGTGTCCTTTGATATCACAGCATTATATACTTCAGTTGGTGCAAAATTAGTAAAGGAAACTATGTGACAACTGTATTATGGCGATGAGAACACAAAAACGCCATGTTCAACTTGGATAGAACTCATAGAGTTATGTTTTAAAATATACTTCCAATTCAATAATCAGATATGTGAACAGATAAAAGCAACACCTATAGGATCGTCCATATCAGGATTAATAGCTGAAGTCGTCATGCAAAGATTAGAATTAATAGCCCTACCTATAATTAAACTAAAAATCTGAGTACGTTACTTTGGTGATACTTTAGTAATAATTAAAAGAAATGATTTGGAAAATACCCCTAAGTTAATAAACATATTTGAAGATATTATATTCACAAGAGAAGAAGAATTAGACAACAAAATTCCATTCTTAGATGTTTTAATCAAGAGAACTAACAAAGGAAACACAAGTATATAGAAAATCAGCGCACACAGACAAAATACTCAACTATAGTAGCAATAACCCGACTACCCACAAAAGAAACTGTGTGCAGATATTGTTTAAAAGAGTCCGAACACAATGTAGCACTCCTGTGTTGAAGAGAATGGAAGAAAAATACCTACTAGCCATCTTCAACAAAGAATGGATATCCTCACAATTTCACCAGTGTTTAAAATCGAGTCACAACACCAACAAGAAACCATCATCAAAGACTACAAGAAATTTCATTCTACCGAATATAAATAATATCTCTGAAATAACAACTAGAATATTAAGACCGTTTGAAATAGATATAGCCCACAAGCCAGCAAGCACAATCAATTCATTCGATATTGTGCAAACCAAAAAATCCAACAGAAAAAGAAGATGAAATTAATACCATTTACAAAATAAATAATATGCATGAACTGCAATAAACATTACATCGTTGGTCAAAGTGGGCATCCCCTTCAAATTCGAATCCAAGAACACAAATTGGCTCTGAAATGGCACGACATGTATTCTGTCATATCGATGCATGTATATAATTACATACCCCAATTTGAAGGAGATAATGTAGAAATGTTGAATAGAGGAAACACCGAAAACACCGCCAGGGAATTCCTAGAAGCCAGGTACTCAAGTGAATCAGCCAGCGATAAACAAACACATTATTATAGACCAAATTTACCACTAGTTAATGAAAAGTAAATCACATGACAAAAAAGTTCGAATTCCAAGTCAATAAAATAGAGACGTAAAATAACAGCCAGTCACGACAGTGGTCGCCAGGAGACACAGTTTTATATTATTCATGGAGAAATCAAGTAAATTCATTTTATACTAAGACCTGCGCTGAAGATGTTGTCCAGAAGGACGACAAAAGCTTCGCAATTAAACCAACCAGCTCAGAGAACACAACGAATTGCAAATCATCCACCTGAGCCACAAATCTTCGCTATCATTTGAATAGTGTGGTTTTGCTTGTCTCTTGTTTCTATGATTTAGGTTGAACTCAGTTCGATGTTACCTAATTTATTAGTCACTCATCATCTCTCGTCTTCATTACGTAACTCCTTCACCATTGTATACATGCATACATTTACTTTGTTTAAACTTGAACTCCTTGTGTAAAAACTATATAAGCCTAATTTTCTGAGCACTGTTTACTAAGTTCAAAACCTACTGTCAACTGACGTCATGTAAAATTTGCAAGTATGTCAAGAATTGTTGTGCTCATAAACTTAATAATAATAATAATTTAATTAGGCTGTAAGCAAGCAATTGATGAGAAGCAAACGAAATAAGCAATGAAAGTACCATATTACTCTGCATAAACTGTTGTTCTTGCTTTATTCAAATTCAAAAAAGGAATAAATGTATGAAAACTCATTGTATAGGCAAAACAAAGACTGTCCACTTCTTTTGATTTGTAATACTCGCGTGTAGAGGTATTCTAACACAGACTTCATTCTGTAAGGATTAATTACTTTTTTTTTAACAAGACATTCCAGAAAGCCTCGATACTTCTGAAGTAAGATAAACAGCAAAACAGGCTTACATCCACCCAATGCATAAAACGGTATTCACATTTATGCTGCTTTAGAGAAAACATTCAGTGAAAACCAGCAACAGAATGTTCAAATTACACAGCGTGTTATTTACTTAGGTCCTACCAAGTTGAAAAGAATGATTTCGTTCGATACAAAACATATTTGTGTTAATCCTAAAAGCAAAGCACAACTTCGCAGTTCTAAAATCGTCCTAGTCGTTTAACTAGGCCAACGCGCAAACTTTATTGTGGCCTGCTTAGATCAATAGGTTACTTAAATTTCTATTAAGCAAAATTGCATCTTGTTTACTCTATTTTATACTGTTTTCATGATTCGATTAACTCCTTAAATCCTAATCTCCACTCACTCTGACTTTTAACTATGTTTCACTGTTCTACGACGACTTTTTCTGAAGAATATTGTGGGATATTGCAGTATGATTCAGAGAGGACATTATTGCTTCAAATGATATATTATCGGTTTTTATCTTAACCCAGATTCTGCGCATGCAGTGAACACTTAGCTATTGAACACGCTGAGTATATACCGTTCTGTGTGCATAGAGGCATTTTTCAAAATGAAGATATTAATGCTGTCATCATCATCATCTATGCAGGTATAAAGATTATTAGACACAGACTAAAGCTGGTGGTAAAGTAAACAGAACTGAACCATAAAATATTCAGAAGAGGTAGAAGAAAATACACAGGTATGCAGTGATTAAAAGCAAAGTTTTGAATAATATTAATATTCAATCTAAGGAGAATACTTCTTACATTGTTGATGAAACTATATTAAAGACAGTGTTTTAGTTATAAGACACTAACATATACCTGTGCCACAAAGTAATGAATTAAGTAGAACTGATGAAGATGAATATTAACAGGAGAATATGCCTCAGCGATCTTCTGGTCTGTTATAGTTTTTAAAGGAAGCATTTTGAATGCTTAATTCAGAGAGCGAATCTAGCGGATAATGAGGTTTTGTAGAATTCACTAAAATTGTTAGTGAGATATACAACAGTAGAACTAGGTCATTAAAAGGTTATTGACTTAATCTTTTCTAAATGAATTCAGTAACATACAACACTATACAAACATTAAATATTTCTTCCCTTTTAGAGAATGCAATACAATAAAGAAATAAAGAAAGAACCAACATATATGCAGACAGGATAATACCAAGTCATTTTATGTCGTGCATTGATTCTCTTCAACTGCTGCCTACATCCTAAGTAAATCAATTATATGTTACAAAATGGTCTCTGAACATACTTCTGTTTGCAATGACTTCAAGTTATAGATAGAGAGTATAAGCATAAGCAACCTAATTTCCAAGATGATGTAAGTAGACAATTATTTAGTGTTTCAAGAGTAACTATTTATATAGTAATTACACAAGTGAGGTAGAGTTCAGATTTATCTTGGAAACATAGAAGGACTAGAGACAAAATACAAGACAGAACAACAGAGTTAATTTATATAGATATATAGCAGACCAACCATGGATATCAGGTATGCATCGGCCGGGCATCGAACCCCTGACCATGTACACGGTCGACGAGCGTCCTAACTGCTGTGCCGCCGACGCACAGTAGAGAAATCTGAATTCCATCTCTTACTATATAAATAGTTACTCTTGAAACACTAAATAATTGTCTACTTACATCATCTTGGAAATTAGGTTGCTTATGCTTATACTCTCTATCTATAACTTGAAGTCATTGTAAAAAGAAGTATGTTCAGAGACCATTTTGTAACATATAATTGATTTACTTAGGATGTAGGCAGCAGTTGAAGAGAATCAATGCACGACATAAAATGACCTGGTATTATCCTGACTGCAAATATGTTTTCTTCTTTATTCAAACTGATAAAGGGAACCGGCTGTATGAAACAATAAAGAAAATGAACAATAGAAAACAAAAGAAAAAAATGAGCGGGAAAAAAGTTTAAGTCATAGACAGATAAATAGAGTAGATTGTGATCTTGTGGAGGATTTATTCATGATTACATCACACATCAAATGATATGCATAAATTTGTGTACAACCGTCATTAAAATCTACAGTTCTTAACATAAACAATAGATTAGAAATCGAATACTTCACTGCTCACAAACCACTCAGATTGTACTGCTTATTTCAGACAAATAGTGATAATAAATTACTGTTATAGATTTACATGTGAACAGTTAAACGTCTACAAGCTGGGAGAAAGAGAGGAGGAAACAATAATAACTATATCGACTTACCACCGAATAGGATACAACAAGGAAACTGCAGTCATGACACAAGCTGTCAATTTTGTCAATCGTCTTGAGCAAAACAGTAGACTACGTTCCAACAGCAAACTAAAAGAAGAGGTGATAGAATGTTTCAAAACAAAGAAGAAAAAACGCAATGAAAAAAATTGTTGTAATATAAGTGAACAATAGTGTAACAAGTGGATTAAGTAAATTTCTTGTAATGATTATAAATATCAGTCGATTCCTATTCAATGAACGAAATACTCCCACATCGAGTCATAAGACAATGACGTAAACAGCGAAGAAAATTTTCTTTTCAACGATTCACTTTCATAAGCTGCTGTACAATCGTTGTTATATTTAATAAAGAGGACAATATGCTTCATCTGTAACTACATCGAAACCAAAAAGCTAAAAATTTCTCTTCCCATCAACTACCTGAAGGAACTATTTCTCACTTGTACGTTTAATATCCAACTCAAATTCCATGTACAGAAAGATGGCGTAGCTATGGGGTCTCTTCTCGGTCCACTCCTAGCTGACTGCTGCATGGTGAGTTTCGAAAACGACATCCCCCATCCTTTGATCAGTCAACTGCACTTATACAGGAGATACGTAGGTGATACGTTCAAAATGTGTGATGAAAAAAGTTGACTTAGAGTATCTCCTCAAAACCTTCAACGCGGCACACCCATCAATAAAATTCACCTCAGAACATGAATCGAACATGGCATTTCCATTACTCGATGTACTACTTGCCAGAAGACAAGACTGCACGATCCAAAGATCAAAATATCGCAAGCCAACGTGGACAGAAAGTCCATCAACTTCCAGAGCTTCCTCCCACTGGTCCGAAAGCAAAACCTAGTACGTACATTATGTTCAAGGATGAGAAAAATTTGTTCAGAAGACATGATAGTGGATGAGTTAAATTCATTACATGAGACCCTACTAGTGAACGGGTATCCACCAAGATTTATCGACAAAAACATGAAGGAAAAGCCTACTTCCTCAAACATTACAACTGTTCCTAAGAAAGATCTCTTCATGAACCTGGAATTCGAAGGTGATATGGAAGCAGAAATTCTTAGAAACCGCCTTTCTAAATGTCTGGAGAAGACATTTCAAGCAGCCGCCTTACGCATAACATTCTCCAGCAGACAATTAATCCAGTCTAACGTTAAGGATAAGATACCGCTTTTGGCCACGTCAGTGTGTATTTATCAGTTTACTTACTTGTTCGTTTGGAGCAAAGTATATCGGCCGTGTGCAACGTCAAGTTCGCAAACGTATTCTGGAAGACTGTCAAATTTGGGTAGCTAGCCAGAGGAGAAAACAAGAATACTAGCAGCTCCATCCTCGAACACCTTGTCAACTCTGGACAACGAGCATCCTCGCATGAATGCTTCACAGTGTTACACAGAGTCCCTCAATATCATACGAAAGGACTTGGAATACGCCGTCAGTACATAGCTGAATCATTGGCTATTCAGGATCTGAAACCGGACGTCTGCATTCAATAGCACCACATACATCCCCTCGCCTTATCGTGGCCAGAGTAACGTCCTCACTATAATTTTGATTCCTTTTATTATGTAAGTGTACTATTATGATTGATATTATGATTTTATTATCATTATTATCCTCATCATCCATATTTTATTGTCACTCTATTACTGTTTATTAATAACATTGCTTTTTCATACAGATTCTATAAAAACACTTCATTGTCTTTCCACTAGTTCTTGGCCATTCTATACAACTGTATTGATTACTCATTTTCTCACACTTATTACGCCATGACAACTTCTGCCCCTTTTCTAATTTCCAACTAGTCACCGCTTCTAGACTACATCCCACATTACGTAATATGTTTTCGAGGTCAAGTTTTACCACTATCTGATTGGTTGTCTTATGAATTCTTTGTTAAATATAATTACGATTGTACAGCAGCTTGTGAAAATGAGTCGTCGAAAAGAAAATTCTCTTCGATGTTTGCGTTTGTTTTATAATTGCTGTTCACTGAGGTCTAAATAATACATGAATTAGAGATGTTTAATGAATATCGGAATAATTAGTATTATATAATAGTCGGAATGTTTCACATGCTGCCCAATAATTAGAAGAAAACTAGTTGGCAAAATAAATTGTAGTGCTACACATCGGTTTTACTAGTTTGAATTACATTTTAAATTATCAATATAAGATAAGAAGTGCATTAAACTCTTGTTTCGGTGACATATCACTGATGTTCAAGAAAGCAATAAAACTATAAAAAGAAAAGGTGAATCTATCATTGCGGATAGAAAATAAGCTTTACTGTCATCAATTATTCGGTAATATTATTACACAATGACCATTGAACTGTTTATTATCTGACTAATAATTCATAGCTATACTCCACATATTTTACGCATAAATGAAAGCGTATCACACTATAAAGAAATGTTTACACAGGTAGTATCACTTATTCGGTAATTCTGTGCTTCACACCTTTCTATACAAGATTCGAAGTAAGTTATCAATTAAACTTAATGAGGTGACATTTCAAAAGAGATGAGTAAATATTACATTTCGTGACTGAAGTCTACTTAGATAATAAACTAGCATTATTGGAATATAATAACTTCATAGACAGCAAATGGAATTAAAATGAATATTTTTCATAACCACAAAACACCCAAAGTTGTGTCTGTGCACAGAAGGAAGCGGTGATTGCTTTGAATTTACCATGGTATTATCTCTTAATTAATAATTGTTATCGCTGATATTTTTTTTATTATTCTTACCTCGATTAAAAGTATCTTTTGCCAGTACCATTATTTTTGATTGGACGTGAATTCCTTCAAGACTGCAAATAGGCCTTGCTGACGAGCGCCAAAAATCACGAAACCTAGGTACAAGGCTCCTCACCGACTGCCTCCAACTATCTCATAACTACAATCCTGACTGAACTGTGATAGCGAGCCACCACCCAGCATCGTGGCCATATTGCAATTTTTACTGATATAATTCAGTCTGCAGTAAACAAAGGACTAGACACATGACACTAGTTAGTGCCCAATCAAAAGTATCTAATACAGTCCTACAGGAGGTTAATCGCTAGCCAGGATAGCTCAGTGGTAACTTTCCTGACTGCAGCACTGTGTGATACAGGTTCGAATCTCAGAAGGGACATGAGTTTCTTCAGAGTTGCAGATACGCCTTGCTGACTGGTGAGTGCCAACTAGCACAAAACCTAGGTCCCAGAAAGGCTTCCTGCCGTTTGCCTCCAACCATCTAATATCAACAATCCTTCTACTATTATTATTACTCAGTTGGTAATTGCTGGTACTTTCAAACTTTTTCTCTCTGATAACCAATTGATTATTATAATGATGTAACTGTACCGTAATCTATTATAATCTCTCATAACCCTTCCCCTCTTATCTATCTGATTTTTGCCTGTAAAACAATCGAGCTTGTCGTTGTGCATGATTTATTCATTGTAGTTTATTTATCAATCACACACCTCTCAATGTATTTCTTATCGCGTATATATATCAGACGAAGAGTTCTACCGAAATTTGATGAATTCACTAAATTCTGCTTTATTAATATTTTTGCTTTCTTTAGATAATGACGTATTATTTATTCAAAGTCAAATTCGCTATAAAAATATGAGGAGAACTTAAGTTAAAACGAGTATACAAAGGTGAAAGAAAGGAGTGTAATACTAGGAGAGAAAAAAACACCGACGAATATTACTCACAAGATTCACGCTATTGTACTCTTTAGATAACGCTTGTATTTAAATAGTAAATTTGTTCAGTAAGAAACCATAGATTATATGTACCTCAATAAACATTGTAAGATTAACAACCATGTACTTCTTCACCTCACTTTAATTAAGACAGTTAAGACGCGAACACTAGATAGACCGCTTTCAGTAACACAACACTTAGTACCAAAATTCGTCTATTTCAGTTATCGTGAATATTCTCTTTTCAGTAATTAATGCACCGATCACTTGTTTATCGTCGTGTCTATAGTGCTAACACTAACGGGTCAAATTAGTTGGTTTTAGATAGTCAGACTGTACTACTAGACTGTTGCTCAAAACTGAAATCTCAAATATGAATTCAACTTTATTATTATTATTAATTTGAGCCCTAAACAAACTCAGAATCCATTCCACTCAGACATTCCTTAATAATAAGTGAGTCAATTCAATAATCTTAAGAAACTATTTATTTTCACCTTTCTTGACCTGAGCTTATCTCTGTGCATTTAACCACTTTTTAAGTCAGTTTGTTTTTAATATCCTATTAAAGTCTTGTTTTACTGTTTTCTTGATTCATTACCATTAACCAACTACCTAGTTATGTAGTAGACGTCTTGTCAACTGCCCACCAATCATTATTATTATTAAACCACAAACTTCATACACTATGGACACCAAGAGATGCGCTACACAAAATCTCACAGTTTGTGCGACAGCTGGGATATTGCCTGAATGTGTAGACTGGAGCAAGTGGTTGCCATAAGGGGCCACTCCTCGAGCCTTCGACTTGAACTCTGATGCACAAGGCGATGGAACTGAGTTCCCATGTTTTCCGATGACCAAAACAGGTTCTTACGCCATTCGATCTGTTAGGATTCTGAAGCCTAAGTACACCATGAGTTTGGAATCAGGTTTTTTTCTAGCTTCCTTATATAGATCAACGCGTTCACCAGTTCACTTGTTTGCTCTAAGCGTCCGCATTCTCCCTATCACTGTAGTGAGGCACACACTCGCCGCGTGGCGGCAGTGAACAGGACTTAACTGTCAGAGGTTATGAATGCGTGACCACAAGACAGCATTTCCAAAGTAGGACAGAAGTTTGCCCACCCTCGATCGTACCTGGTCGTTTATGGGGTGTTAGTGTTCACCAAAGACTCAATAGACACATCTTAGGTTAAACTAATAACAAAATTATGAACTAATCACACTCGAATACATTTGTTGTTATTTCCTTTTCTAATTTTCACACAAAACAGTTGCAGGATTTGAAGAGAAATATGACTATTTCCTCAAATGACTGACTGGTTTCAATGTAGAATTTTGCACAGATGTGCACCAGTTCGAGTTGCCACTCTCCCTCTTTGGAGCACACAAAGCAAGAGAAGAGTAAAGAGAAATTCAAAAGAGAGATAATAAACAGAAATATGAGGCAACAAGAAAAGTAATATGGAAGAAGAATAGAATTTTATTGGATATCATAAATCATAAGAGGTGGATGTATCTGCGCCATTGGGAACGAGGACTTCTAACCATATCACCAGACATTGTTTCCAGACACCGCCATTGGTTTTTACCAGCATCCTGAGGATCACAACCAGCCGTCAGGAAGTCTACGCCTCCCAACAAGACTGGCCCTAAACTAACTGTTGTGATTTCATTGACTGATGAAGCCATGTTTCTGTTTGACTACCACTGGCTCTTTTCCAACCTGATCTATTCTATGTCAGTCAGCCGACATCGCCCGTCGAGGAAGGCGATCGATGGCTAGACATGCAAGCGTAACACATGTCCTAACCATCTCAGTTGGTGTAACTCCACAATCACCTCGTCGACTGATTTCCGCTCCTTACCTAGCACTCGACGCCAAACCTCAATATTGATCTTCTCCATTGGGTCGACATGAATTGAGATTATATCAGGAAGAGGAAGCTTCTATAAAAATTGCTTACCTGACAAATATGTGTATCCATAGTGAAAGATCCAATGCGTTATAGTATTCCATGACATAGTTCTATCACAAAATATAGTGAGTACAAATAAATGTAATCAACTTACTAGGTAATGTGGAGATTGAGACGTTGGGATCCGAAGCACAAAACCCTGTAATATGAAGAAACACCAATTGATAAGTATTTTACTTTACGGGTAACTAACTTGGGACATAATAACTAAGAGGAAATCAATGACTTCAAACAAATGTTTCCCAGTTTGAAATGAGGTAGTTTAAATCCCCATAGGTAGGCATGGAAGTGGCAATGGAGAATAAAACCGAAGTGAAACTGTAAAGCTAGTATAAGTGAAAAACTTGAAACCGACTGAAGCATCAGTTTTAGTCCATACAGTCTAAGGTGATCAGAAATAAGTCTTTTTTTCTGAAGAAAGTAAGTGGTTAATCATATAAAAACAAAACGATAGATGACGACTTCATGAAATGATATCATATTTCGATCTGAATATTCTTTTTTATTTTCTAAACCTACACTTTTGTAACCAGCACTGAGGACACATGATATAGCATAATTCCCTTCATTTCCCAGGCAACAATTTCTACCAGCTGCAACATACAAAGGTTAGGAAACTAGCTTTTGTTAGTTCAGACTATAAGAAAGCTTTTGTACTAGGCATATTTTACACATGGCACAAAAATCTCTTGAAACAAGAAAAACCAGACTCTTCAATTTTGGGAAGGGGACATGTCGGTAGGAAATATCACAACTTGATAGCTTACAGATTTCGCCTCCCACTTTCTCTGAATACCAGTTGGATGTTTAGTAGCATACCAAAAATTAAGCCTAATAAGGGTAATTTATGTATTCTAGCTAACTCGTTAGTTTTCTAGCCAGTCCCAAGTCCGGAAAAGGAGAAGTTTAGGGGTTAGACTAGCGACCCTACTCCAGGAAATCAATCCAATCGCTACAGAAGCTTGAAACCACAGGAAAAAATATAAAAACAAACTTATTCTTCGCTGAAATCGGAGACAGAATGATGCCGGCTGGCGAAAGCCCACCTTCGGGAAGCCAGTCAACCAATGTGTCTTCCTTTGATGAAAGCAAAAATAAGGATGGGGATGTGGAATGTTCGTGCAATGTACGAAGCTGGGAAGGCTGCCCAGGTCACTGAAGAGATGAGAAAATACGACATGGAAGTTCTAGGAATCTGTAACAGCAGGTAGAATGGATGTGGACTATCCAAATTATCAACTGGAGAGTCAGTAATCTACTCCGGTCACCCACCCAGACGACAACCACGAGCACACTGAGGCAATGAGTGGCTATCTTAATGTCACTAACAGCGGTCAGAAGCTCTTATGACAGCAAGACTCACCTCAAAACGAAGAAAGGCCACAATTATCAAATGCTACGTGCAACGCTACAAACAACTCAGAACAAGAGAGGAAGGGAGATTTCTATACACAAGTGCAAACAGTGGTAGATAACATCACAATTGGCGAAATCAAAATTCTAATGAGTGATATGAATGCTAAACTGTGAGCAGACAATACAGAAAGAGAACTCACCATGCGTCAAGAGGCTCTCAGAGAAATGAATGAGAACCGAGAACTGTTCACAGACTTCTGCGCCTTCAATGATCTGGTGGTTGGAGGCAGCAAGTACAAGCAGAAGGATATAAACAAGGTGACATGGATTGCACCTGATGGACACACCAAAAACTAGACAGACATCATCCCAAACTCCAGAATGTGGAAAAACAGCGTACAGCACACAAAGTCGAGAAGGGGAGCAGATGTGGGTTCAGACCATTATCTAGTACAGGGAAACTACAAGATTAAGCTGAAGAACTTCAAAACAACTGGAGACGGACTTCAGTTCAAGTCCAACACTCAGAAACTGAAAGATGATACTACAAAAGAAATCTTCGCCGCAGCCATCAGAGCAAAGTTGGAGACATGTAGCATCACTGAGGAAACCTGTATAGAAGAGCACTGGAACTCTCTGAAATCGATGTTCAAGTAAGTATGTACAGCCGTTTTACGAAGAAAGAGGAGGCAAGACAAAGAATCGCTCATAATGGACACTTGGAAGCTAACAGAGGAGAGGAGAATATACAACAGAAGATGAACCGCTGACAATATGGACAAGGAAAGGAGAAGTTGAGTTCAGTTTGCAGGGTAATAAAAAAAATAAAGAAGACGGCTAGGAGAAACAACACACTGACAACCGAAGCAGAACAAGCCGCAGGTAAAACAGATCTCAGAATATTATATCATATAACCAGGTCTCTATCCAGGAAACGACCAATGCAGATGGAACCTATAAAAGATGGTCAAGGGAATCTCATTACCAAAGAGTAGAGACAAATAAAACAATAGGTTGATCACTTCAAAAAACTTGCGAATCGACAATCACCTGCAACTCGTTCAGAAATGCCATCAACAGCACGCATAAAACTGCCAGTAAACACCAATCCTCCAATAAAAGTAGAAGTCTTGAGTGCAGTCAAGCTACTGAAAGCCAGGAAGGTCACAGGACCAAACGGAATCCCTCCGGAAGCACTGAAGACGGATCAACACATCTAGGCAGATATGCTCACACCAGTATTCCAAGAAGTTTGGAAAGAAGGAAAGCCACCCACTAGTTGAAAGAGAGGCTACTTTGTCAAACTACCACAGGAGGGCGACTTATGCCTCTGTAAGAACTGGTAGGGAATAATGCTTTTGTCCACTCCAAGTAAAATATTAAGTCGCGTTATCCTGGAGAGAATAAAAGGTGTGCTCGGAGCAGAACTCCACCAACCAGAACATGCTGGATTCGGGAAAAGCAAATCATGTGCTGATCAAATTGCAACTCTATGCATCATCATCACACAACAAGGCGTTGAATAGCAGTCAAACCTCTCTCTACCTCAATTTCACCGACTTTGAAAAGGCCTTCGACAGACAACGTTGACCGCAAAGCAATTTGGAAACTACTTCAACATTATGGCGTGCAGTGCCCAAATCTTTATCAACCTCATTCAACAGCTGGCTATATGACAATGTCACGTGTCAGGTGATCCACAACTGATAACTCAGAGAAGCGTTTGAAGTGAAGACAGGAGTAAAACAAAGCTGCCCACTTTCACCGATGATATTTCTAATTGTGCTGGACTGGATTATGCATCAGACTGTGCACAGAGAGTGAGAAGACACGGATACGTTGGACTGACAAGAAGACTCTAGAAGATCTGGATTTTGTGGATGATTTGCATCTAGTGTCACACTAACTCGGGGACCTACAGACGAGAAGCAACAAACTGGTAGGAGAAGTAGCAAAGATAGGACTTCAAGTAAACATACAGAAGACGGGAGTGATGAAGACAACCAACCAACAGCAACAACAACCACTATCAATGGAAGAAATTTGAAAGAGGTCACTTCCTTCATTTATCTGACCAGGCAGCATCGTTTTAACTACAGACCAGCGGATCGGATGAATATGTCAAAGTCAGCCAGCCAGCCAGAATCGGAAAGGCAAGACAAACCTTCATCACTGTGAAATCAGTTTGGAAATCTTCTGCACTCCGCCACAGCATAAAACAACAAAATCCAGACTTTCAACACCAATGTTAAGTCAGTCAGTCAACTCTTCTATATGAGTCTGGAACTTGGCGTTCGTGTCAGAAAAGGTGTTTTCAACAGCCAGCTGCAGACTGTCATCAACAGCTGCCTGCACTGGATCCATTTTGATGATGAAATGACTGGCCAGAAAGAAATAACAGCAAAAAACTCTGGAAACAAATCAATTAAGAACCTATTGCTCAACAAATGTGTAGAAGAAAGTGGAGATGGATCGGACACACGTTGAGGAGACTATCGAATGACATAGCGCTCTAGGCTGTCACTTGAGTGGAACTCGAATAGGAAACGACGAGTGGAGCATCTGAGGGGGACATGGAGGAGATCGTTTGAGGAGGAGTTGGGAGACTGTGCAGAGAATGGGAGGAAGTGAAGATGTGCTGTCGAAGCCCTATGTTCTACTTGGAAACCAAGGGAAAAATAATAAGAATATCCTGGGTAAAAAATTCAGATAATGGACTTTATTGATCATTAAGTTTAGTCTAAGATTTGTAACACTAACAGTACCGACGATTAAAAGCAAACAGATCCAGTTTCCGTAAAAATGAACTGTATGCACACATGTGGAATATTTGTACAAGTCTCTTTTCATATATGTGTAAACGAATTAGAGATGAACAGAACCACATAGTTAACGAATGTTTACATAACGGAAAGTTCGTCTGTGTTTCAATTCATTGGTAATTGCAATATCAATACATCTTTACAGCTGCGTTTATCATACCCTTAGCCACACTTAGCTTATGTGGGATAATTATTATTTCCTTTAGTTCCTAGAGGAACATAGGGCTTCAGCCATGCGTCTCCATTGCGTTCGGTTCTCTGCTAGAGTTTTCACTTGGCTCCAGGTCTGCCCACATGCTTTCATCTCCTCTTCACATGATCTCCTCCAGGTCACCCTTGGACGACCAACTCGTCGCTTCCCTTTCGGGTTCCACTCGAGGGCTTGTCTAGTGATGTCACTTGATGGTTTCCTCAGAGTATGGCCAGCCAATCCATCTCCATTTCTTCCTGCCTATTTGTTTCACAATCGGTTCCTGGTTGGTTCGCTCCCAGAGATCTTTGTTGCTGATCCTTTCCGGCCATCTGATCTTGAGTATTGAGCGAAGACATCTGTTAATGAAGGTCTGTAGCTTGTTTGAGGTGCTTTTTGTGACACGCCAAGTCTCTGATCCGTATAGTAGTACTGACTTCACATTGGAGTTGAAAATCCCGATTTTATTTTTGACGCTGAATGATGTTGATCTCCACACAGACTTGAGAGTAATGAAAGCTTGCCTTGCTTTCCCGATCCTTGCTTTGATATCCTCGTCAGTTCCGCCTGTAGTTGAAACAATGCTTCCCAAGTAGGTAAAGGAGGTAGTTTCTTTCAGGTTCTTTCCATTTATGCTGATTGCTGTCTGTTGTTGTTGGCCAGGGATCTTCATCACCTCCGTTTTCTCTATGTTCACCTGGAGTCCATGTGGGATAATGATACTAGCTTTTTTTCAGTTAATAGGATTTGGATTTTTGATAAGAAACGGTTAAGCGAAGCACTAAAACCACAACTGCTATGAATGACATTTTTGTTGACAAAACAACCTCGCCTAGTCAGTTAACTAGTCGATCCTAAGCCCAGTAAAATGGGGAAGGTTGGGCGTGGGGCTAAAGCTGCCCTACTCTAGGAAATCAATCCAGCTGCTTCAGATATTTCAAAGCACAGGACAAAATTTTAAAAATAAATTCATTCATCACTGGAAACGGAGAGGTAGGCTGGTGGAAGCCTTCAGGAAACTAGTCAGCCGATGTGTCTTCTTCCGATGAAAGTAAAAATAAGCATGGGGGCATGGAATGTCCGCACGATGTTCAAAGCTATTAATTTGCTGAGACTGCGAAAGAAAACAGATTATGGTTCAGGGGTTTGGCACATCACGAAAAGCAATTCCAACAGCCAGCCGCAGACTTTTATCAACAGCTACCAACTTCGCTCCATTCTGAAGATCAGATGGCTAGCCAGGAAGGATAGGCAACAAGGAACTCTTGGAACGAACCAACCAAGGACCTATTGCCAAACAAATATGTTGAAGGAAATGGAGATAGATGGGGCACACAGTGAAGAGACCGTTGAGTGACATCACACGCCACGCTTCCCAGTGGAGTCTGAATGAGAAACGACCAGTTAGTGGCCGGAGGGAGACATGGAGGGAGTCGTGTAAGTAGATGAAAACTTGTGGGAAATCGTGGAGCCAACTAAAAAGGACTACAGAGAACAGGATAAAATAGAGACGTGCTGTTGTACACCATGTTCCACTGGGAACACAAGGGAATAATAATATTAATTAACAGAAACGATATGAATTTAACCAGAATAAGACCAATAATAATCATAGATTTACACATACCATTGATGGATTAAATGGATTTGCACACTGGATTCGATCAGTGGGTAAATGAGGTGGAGTTGTAGAGTACAGGTGTGAGAAAAATGGTTCCATAATTGACCAGTGAGTATCACGATAAAGTCCATGACGCCATAAAATACTTAGCAGAGAATGGAAACATTCGCACCAAGGAAGTTTGCTAAAGATAAGAAAAATCAAATATAACTACAAATAACGTCACTTGATATTCTTTACTAAGTGACTGGTGCAAAATTTGTAATTGAAGTCATAAACAGAGTATACTGAATGAAGAACAAAGCTAAAGTTGTTTTGAAAGCAACCAAACAGTGCACATCATACGACAAAGTAAATATAATTGTTCTATGATAACATATCCGTGAACATTTTTGGATAACCAAAGTTCTTGTGTAACGACAGAAGACAAGAGCCAGGTAACAGATCGTTTATTGAGAAAATCAACAAATATTTGTAGATTTTTATGCATACTATTATTTGTTATTGTTAGCAGACAAGCAACGTCTTCTGATTGGTTGTTTTCCTGCTGAAGGTTATTCTGTCATCTCTTTGTTGCCGTTTCTTAGACAGTCCGGTGATATATCTGCGAATCGTATCCGCCCACACTAAGTCTGCTGTGATTGGTTGTTGAGTTCCTCAAGATCAGGCTTTGTCCTTGTTTCTTCTCATGACCCTTATTTGGGACGTACACATTGACGTCAATTGTTGTCCACAATTTTGTCTTGCAGACAGCTCTCACTACACTTGCATCTCATAACAGCTGTCAACAATCAGATAATTTCATTTACCACCTTGATATTCATGACAAGAAAATGAATTATGCAATCAAATAATCAGTTACTCAGGGATACAATTAGTGGGTTCTTCATAGACAAATGGCTGCAGGAAAGACACTAGACTTTCGTGCATTAAACACTTCAAAATCTAAACATTTTAATCCTAAACTTGAACATGACATTTTTTAAAACATTTGATTATCGGAAGATCTTATATCAGAGTTACGGGATTAGTAAAATCAGTCATCACTGTCTGCTGAATCTAACTTTAGTGATATTTAACGACCGCCCTAATTCATTCTATTAATGCGCGCGAACACACTAAAATATCACCGTTTACATGGTTTGACTATCCCCTGACTTGTAGTTGAAGACTTCTCATTACTTACAGATTGCATTTTAAATATGGAAAGAAAATCTTCCGTTGTTTGACAACTCCACACGTGTAATTGGATATTATATATTCAGTTTACTTGAAGATAACAGAGGTAGAAGTACAGAAAGTGACGACGCATCTTGAAAACATCCAGATTGTAATGACACCTCGTACATACATGACAAATCTTGCCTTTTCAAGTTCTATTCTATTTACTGTCTTAATATGTACATATATTTATGGTGGGTGAAAGGCAGTTTCAGGTACATGATAAGAGTAATTACCAAGTAAGTCAGTGCAGTGTTACATACGGAGACTTTCTCTGCGAAATCAACTCCTAGCGTTTTAAACTGTTATGAATTGTGTTACTTAGGATTGATCTCTTTCATCTTATTGTGCTCTGAAGGCTAAATGCTTAATTTGCGAATCTGATGGAGGAGTCACAACATTCTTTGAGCAGCTTTATTTATGTCAAAGGCTAAATGTCAAAGAAATTTTAGACTTCTTGCTTGGTACACTATATATATATATATATATAATATATATATAAGTAAGCACAGGTGAACTGTCTCACTGTGTTGCTGTCATATTCAATAGGAAATTTTGTATTTGCGAACACCGATACCACTTACCTAGATATACAGAGCAGAAACTTTTCATTCGGTTGGTAGCAGAAAACGAATTCCAATACTCCCTTGGCATCGGTGAATATAATTACAAACTCTTCAACAGTGGAACGTCTGCTTTGTAGTCAATTTAGAAACACCAACGAAATTACACCTTACTTATTACAACAAAATGCAAATTCTATTATACGTTCAGTATATACCTCAGATAGATTAGTGGGATAGCACTTTTTAACCGTCGGACCTGAAACGTAAAGATGAAACAAATAATTTAATTAATCTATAACTTTTTAGGAAAGACTAAACAGTCAGTTGATCTTAGACTTGTCTCTTCTTCAGAAACAGCTTCACACAATGACAAGATGCAAAAGCCTGAATCTTTCTAAATTTTTCGCGAATCGGATTGTTTAGCACCATGAAACATTTCCAAGGAAACTGTTTACGGGTGTTGTTTGTTGAAAATAAGTGTGGTTTTCCCTATCAGCAGCGTATTTTACTAAAAATAAAAGCTTCTCTCATTTACCATTAGAGTTTTTGATATTGGTTAGTGAAATAAAGCTTTAATATTTCAGTTTAAACACAAATGAACACAACGGCCATTATTTTATCATGTTCAAAAACAAAAGAAACATTTTACTCTTCAGAAGACAAATTTTCAAATCAAATTATTTGTGCATGCTTATTTGAATGATTTCCCTGGCATAAATTGCAAACAATACCGTAGGGCTTTAGAAAAAGAAACCGAAAAGATAACTTCTAGACAAGAAACAAACCTAAATTTATGGGTTTATTTCTTTATGGTGATGATTGGAAGCAGTAGCGACTTCTCCCGTAAGAAAATTAAGCGTAGACATTGAAAGAATTACAATACCATAATCTTTCAAACCAAACCTCCAACAATAGTAGTACTTTAGGTTAGGTGTACATTTCATAACAAGAATGAGGGTGAAAATGAAAGAAATCGGCCCAAATGGGAAAGTCAGTTTAACTTCAATTAGTTCAATAAGACCTAGTTTTATAATATTGCATGGAATTTAAATACCCACATAGGGCGGTTAGAGACTGGAAATCAAAGCCAGTATCGAATCCTTTAGTGTACTCTTTCTGAGAACAGCTGACTCTCCATAGATAGAGAATAGGTTACCACTGTCCGCTTCCCGCTGACAGTTATGGACAACCAATGAACAGCCTATATTTGGGATACATTTACACCACAAGAAGGGGCTCAAACCGAAGTCGAACAAAATACGTGTGGAATTCAGATTCTCTCACAGAGTGATGAACTACTGGAACTCCTTACCTTATACAGTAGTAACAGCTCCATCGGTGAACGCTCTCAAAGAGAAACTGGATATCTGCAGAGATTTAAATCGCAAGGATTAACATAGGCAACAAGAGCCTTCTAAACTTATAATCTGAATCTGAATCACTGGTAGACTATCATTTGTCTCTAAAGAGTGAAATCATACTCAAAAGGTAAGGTGTATGAAGTAAGAATAATATGAAAGAGATCCAAGATTCCGGTAAAAAAAACTATACTCTTAACAAGTGACAGGTTTTAAACGATGAATTTAAAGTCTCGGTTTGCAAACTAACGATATCCATCAGGAGTCAACAAGACAATCCGAAAATCGAAAAGTAGATGAAGAGTACACAATTTTCCTTATTTTAATCTTCACGTAGTTTACTTATTTGATTGCAGTCCAAAGAGAGTGTGGATTTGAACCATTCCAACCAGAGCAAATATGAGTTCTTTCCATCTATTACTTGTGAACCACCTATCGACTCTATAGGCTGTTAGAAATTATGTCCCAATCAAACTGGTATTGGGTAAGGCTTATGAAAACTACATTAGTTAGAGGGTGACCAGAAGAGAATAAACCAAATATTAATTTAGGTGGAGCGGCGAGGCCATGATAACAAGCTAGATTTTAAAAAATCAGGATATACATCAAACAGTGCACGGATGAAGCATAAGCAGTCTTTGCCAAATTAAACGACCTCAATCTACCGAGAACTTCGGTGTTTTACTTATTTGCTGACCAGTAGGGTTACCCGATTCAATAAAATTTTAACAGTTATACTATTCAACAGGAAACTTGAAATCTGCCAAGGGTACTGGGAGTGAGAGCATTTAGGAATATAATGAAACCGAGAGCTGTAAATAATTCGCAAGAAGCAATGTTGGAAATCTCGTGGTCTACCTGAATATGAACGAGTGTATTTGACTTTGAAATCTGTAAACGTTCTTTATATTTTCACGTAACAAAGACACGTAGTCATATAATAAATTCAATTATATTCAGCCAATAACGAGATTGTTTTCTCAAATGACGGAAACCGTGAAAAGAGATACAAGTAACTGTAACAAATATGTGACTTACGGTTGTGATCTCCCTTTTCGTACAATACATAGTACTCGATGGCATGTTGAACATCCCTGGAAGAAAGAAAAGATGATTAACTGCGTCAAGGATATTTAGAAAAATAACGTTAGTTTGTAAACTGAATACCTAGCGCAAAGGTCAAACATTAAATGAATTAGCTGGATAATAGATACTGAGCGCTAAACAAGGCACTCGACCTATAAGTAAATGTGATGTAGTATAACAAAGAGTTCATGTAAAAGCTGTTGCTTACAGTGATTAATATCTTTTTGAAGAGCTAGTGTAAACATTATGATTTTTCGACTCGCATCTTGTTATAAAGATAAGAATAACAGTCAGTTCAGCCGACCTTTAAAAACTACACTTGGAAAACTTACCACTGAAAAGAAACACTAAAACTTGTATATTTGCACGTTGATTGAGCTTAAGGAATATCAAACACTTTCCTGCACAAAATGATTCTCTTCCACGCGATGCAACCGTGTTTTCCAATATCTTATTCAAAATCCATACGTAAAGTGAAGGGTGGTTATATGGGAGAGCCTGTCGATGAACTTTATTTCACCTGCACGATAGTGGGATAAACAACACAGTGTTGCTTGTGATTGATCAGTTTCTCGGTGGAGTTGCTGTTATTTCAAACAAAATTTACCTGTTTGTCGAAGATCCTACTTTCCAGCTGCATTTTATTCGTTCAGTTGCATAACTCACTGTACCTACTATTAAGGCACAGGAACGTAATGATGTATCAGCGGATTTGCTTGCCGAGTCCAGTTAATTCTTTAATATCAAGGTCTAAGAATCAGACAGGAGTGTCAAGAACGCATCCAAGCTTCTGAAGAGGCGGTGAGTTCATCCAACCACAATTATCGCTTGACTGTTATTTTCAGCGAATCTTTAGATAACAAACAATACTCAAAAGGCCAGTAAATTGTGATGAAAACACCATGGTTGATGCACCATACAGGTGTCTATGTGTTATCTGTCTTTGTCATGAGCATCAGAAAGAAGGCATCGAAGAAGGTCATGGAGAATCATACATCACATTTAGGCTTCATTTTTTAAATCGAAAAGCATAAGTTGTTCATTCACCTTCGGATATAAACTTGAATTCGGGGCAGTACAAATTAAGTGGGCTCATTGGCAGCGGGAATGAACACTTATGAATTATGGAAATGCCCCAACAAAAGGTGGGTAAACACCAGCTTTTTAAAAGCAATTAACAAAATTTATTCATATGATCGTAGTACTTGTAGATGTCTAAGCTAATAACTGATCCGTTGTGATTATAATGCATATTTTTGTTTTATTATAGCCATTATGCTTACTAGCTCTGTTATTTCTCCTGTTGTTATTATTTGTCATAAAGCAGCTACTATTGGTATAAACACTTTTATGCAAGCCTTGCGGGTTATCACAGAACTTATTATTAAATACTTGTACTGATTCATGATACTTCGATCTATCTACCAGATGAATTCTGAAGTCACCCAAGTTTAGTGAACGGTTTATCTACTTGTTTGTCAGACGTTTGCTGATAAATGCCAACCAAACAAGCATGTGAAAAATTGTTATTTCATCGAGACTGTACATGTACTACCCAAGTTAGTGGTAGTTTTCTTGAACCTTTTCAGAATCTTACGGAAAAACAACTATGTTCCCTGCAGGTGGATGGAACTAACTGACAATACCAAAGGACCGCTGGCCATAAATGTCTGTATAATTGAAGTGGAATTTCGTCTGCTTTGTTTCCATCACAAGGAGACTGAGTTTCTGTCACATTAGAAAAGCCTGCTAGGAAGAAAATTAAGCGTTAATTTCCGTAGTTAATGGAATTTCAGAGAAATTGTTGGGAAATAATGCAAAATATGGGATACATTTGCTCATAAGGTGAGATGAACACATAATATCTTAGGGTGCTCTGTGTCTTTGAACCTTAGGCACTTTGTGCGTCGGTGGCACAGTGGTTAGGACTCTCGCCGACCATGCACATGGTCCGGCGTTCGATCCTCTGCCGGCGCACAACCGATATCTGTGGTCGGCCTGTAAATTTGGGCTGCCGATATCCATGCTGAAAATTCCATACCTGTACTGAAAATACGGTGTGGAATCAAGCTGTAATCAAAATAAAATAAAAAATATCTTGAATCGAATTTATTAAGGCAGCTGCACTGCATTCTGTGTATAGCTACATAACCCAATGTATGTGGTTTTTTACTACATGGTAGATAACGACATCTAGAAGGCAGAAGCACACTGTCTTGGGTGGATTTATTTTTACATTGTAAGTGATTGTGAGTGGTGAGTGAGTTAAATTGTTGTTCTAAAGTAACAGATAATTATAGAAGATTCCCAATCTAAATACTGTATTGGAGGTGTGAACATAGTCCCATTCTCTGGCAACAACGCGATCTTTTTACCAACAAACTTATCCGAAGATCTACCTTTACATGGATATAAAATGATAATCCTCTGATGACCACTGGGGTAGCAATTTGAGGGTATAGTCCTGCCCACTGATTGTTGTGCTAGCGTGCTTCCTTGTATATAACCTATCATTAACGATGTTGGGAAAATTTGCTGTAGCCAGAAGACAACTCTCATAATACTATTTCACATATACAATAACCAACTTGATTTCAACGCAGGGGGTACTAAAAGGTAGACAGTAAGTTGAAGATTTATTGATTCACCAAGTATAAGCCAATATAGCAGGTCAATTAAACAGCAGCTTGACCACATAATAATAATTTTTATTTTCATATAAACATAAATTTACATGAAAATGCGTGCCATTTTTACAGGCACGATCAAGTATGATATAATGTCAAATAGTGGATTGTCTACAAGTTAATAATGTTTGAACAGCTAAATATTATATATATATATATAAATGCACTCATTGTCTGACCCATGTCGTATCATTATTGAATTAAACAGTAGTCCTCCAGGTTGCGCAGGAAAATCGACTTCGTTTCATTTTCAATCCGTGGTTGTAGGCATACGATAACCAACAAATGTTGAGGTAAGTACTACCTTTTCATGGGACTGAAAGCTGTTTTAGAAAAGTAAAAAAGAGAAGGTGAATCATTAAAGTGTAATGAAATAGGTAAATGCAATATATCATTAGCAAGTGCATTCATAAAGGAAATACAATGGGAGACTATAATCCCTAGGCTGACAAAGTTCATTTTCAATGTATAATGCTACCCATATAGGTCTTACTATCATGATGTCCACTTTTGGTTTTAATACAATTATCCACAAGCCTGTTGTTTTAATTTCATACCTTTTTGTGTATTTGGTGCACAACCGTCCCCTATAGAGAATAGGAATAAAATAAGTCTAATCAAATTCATAAAGAGCTATAAAATGTTATGTTTAATGGAGTATAATGGGCAAGTGAAGACGTTATTAGAAAATGAATGACATGAGACATTGTGAAGTGATATTCGAAGATACGACAAAGGAAAGCATGTTAATTTATAAGATGTCCCACAAATGTGTGCAGAGCCCACGTGGTCGCGTCTCAGCAATAGGCTGACCGAATGGTATATGTTTAAATGTAGAAGCATGATCTGTCTAGGCGATCATTATTATCTTTTTCAAGATAAAGATTTACAGTTGGTTACCATCAACACACTAAAAACGTATATACGTAACGTCACTATGATATACATTAATACTTCTGCGTGTGTTGCTCCGATGTTCTATCAACGAGCAAAAGTCTAAGTCACCACGGAAATAACTGCTCCCAACGAACAGGAAACCGCTTCGAATAAACAAGTTCATCCAAAGTTCATCAGTGTTCACCATCGCTGACGTCCTCTTTTCAACATATTGATGCCTATGCCAATAATGCCGACATATTCATCACGACATTCACAATGCACTGCATATTCATGACCATATGACTGAATTTCCAGTGTTTCTTCTATCTGTGTATGTCAGTGTTGGAGATGACCTTAACCTCCTTAACTCCATTGCTCACAACATTAGCAGAACCTAATATGCAGTCTCATCAAGTGGAATGTGTGACCATGAGGAGCGCAATTACTACTGAGTTGGCATACAATACGAAGTCAATTACAATGTGGAAAAATCCTTCTTCAGCAACGAAACCGGTGCACCGACTGCGTCATTCTTATATGTCACGAATGCCCTGTTTACAACTTCTACTTGTAACTGCGGATATTTCACAACATCAAATGCTTTTTGGGCAAATGACAGCGTATTTTATTCGAATTCCTCAGTTGACAGGCAAATCATACTTTCAATAATATCTCCATAACTGTTGTTAGTTGTCAAAGAGCTCTAGGAATGTCACAGGTGATTCTTGGAAGGAGCACTAATTACTAAATAATGTGCCCTGTGAAGAAACTCTACCGGAAGTTGCTGAAACTGCTCCGAAATTTGAATGTGAGCATCTAAATTGCGCAAGATTTTCTTGATAACGAATGAACTATTAACACTCAACAATGCGTTACTTTGAGAATTTTCTCATTTGAAAATGAAATGTGCGTCGGTGGCACAGTGGTTAGGACTCTCGCCGACCATGCACATGGTCCGGCGTTCGATCCTCTGCCGGCGCACAACCGATATCTATGGTCGGCCCTGAAATTTGGGCTACCGATATCCATTGCTGAAAATACGGTGTAGCATCAAGCTGTAATCAAAAATAAAAAAAATGAAGATTCAAATATTTTATTTTGTCAATCCCTGCAAATATGCCTTGATTTCTCAAC